CAGCAAGGCGACCTAGACACAAAGTAATCCTTGGAATATAGTCTAATATAGTGTTGCAAATTGCTCTTTCCCAAGTTTCCTTCATGCCAAAGTACAAAAAGGCAGTTGAGGTTAACTATATAAAAAAAATATTAGAAACAGAAGAAAGCAATAGACATAACTAGCAGATGGTAGTGAGAACAACATTCAAAGCAGAACTATTTTATTATGGCATATATATTTAATGTGTTTTTCACAAAAGAAGATGACAGACAAATGCCAGATCCAGTAAAGATGGCTAAAGTATATGTGGAATTAATAGAGCATGTTTTTGTTTTAGCAGAATCTTGAAGGATTACATTTGTAGAAAGTACCTTGGCCAGATGACATTCACCATACAATCCTTGTTGAATTGGAGGAGGAAATTGTTCATGTCCTAGTTCAGATAATTTATCATTTATAATCCCAGAGGATTGAGTTCAAGATCCTCGTCCTCACCTTTAAGGCCATCCATGGCCTTGCCTCCTCCTACCTCTCTGACCTGCTGACTCCTTACCATTCAGCAGGCTCTGGTCTGCTCCCATGTCTCCCGCCCGACCCGCCCTACCATCGGTAGCCAGGCTTTCAGCCTCTCTGAAACTCCACGCCCTGGAACTCCATCCCACGGTCCCTTCGCCTCGCTTTCTCTCTTGCCTCCTTCAAGGTCGGTCTCAAGAGCTTTCTCTTAGACTGTGCCTTTGGTCTCCCTCCCACCTCTCTGCCTTCCCTCACCCCTACACCACCCCTCCCCCATGCTCAGGCCCCGACATCTGACTGTTCAGCGCTTTGGGACGTCCTCCCGACGTGAAAGACGCTCTATAAATGTAATGTTGTTGTTGTTGTTATCTGGAGTAATACTAGACAACTGCAGAGTAGCAAATGTTACCCCAATATTTAAAAACACACACAAAAAGTACAAAATTACATTTATATAGCACCTTTCACGTCGAGAGGACATCCCAATATAAAGCACAAACCTGGTATCTACTGGGGAGAGAAATATACAGCTCATGCCTTAATTAAGACATGTCAAGTGATTTGGAGAGTAAATTAGAAATGGAATTGAAAAAGCAAACCTATCATTAACGAATATCTGAAAGTTCTGTGAGGAGTTAGCTCAGGTTTTTTGAGGACACAACTGGCTAACACAGGTTAGCTTCGACTGATAGTTTCAACTCTTCACACCTCAGGAATACATTTCTCCCACAAAATATACAGTCAATTCAATTCAAGGGGTATTCTGTGAAGTTCTTTGAGACGTCTCGAAGACATGATGAGGTGCTATATCAAATGCAAGGATTATTATTATTGCTGCTGTACCTCAAGATACCCTTTCTGAAGCTGCCTCGCTATGCAGCAGCATTTCCCGCCCTCTTTTCTCCTCACCTCTACAATGTTATGTGATCCACCACATTTTTAATTGAAATTATTATTTGCCAGGCATTCATCTCCCTCTCCCCACTGTTCCTGGTTAGGCGTGACCTAGGTATATAGGAATACATTTCACTTCAATCACTTGCTTTCAAGTTGCCTAACCTTAAAGGAGCATAGGTCTTAGTCATACATATTCATGTATAAACAAAGCAAACATTTATCAGATGGCTGGTGAAGGCCTCATTGGGGAAATCATAGGCAAAAATAATATACGCCATTGAAGTAAGATGACACATCAGTTTATTCTCACCTTTTATGACTCGGCTATTAACACATTCTGAGACTTGCGCTTGCCTGAGTCATTTATGCATGATTAATGGCGGTAACTACAATACAAAAGGATAAAAGGTCAACTTAGATCAGTGGAGTGCACTGCGTCTGAAAAGAAATATCCATAAGCAAATTGGCTTGATCTTATCAGTATTCTAGTGCTTGAGAAATGAATATGGATCAAACGTGCTCCTAAATAGAGCTAGCTTATCCTGACCTGTTTAAAGTGGACTCCTCTGTACTTACAAATCTAAACCTATAGTACTACAGGACATATTGCCACATGGAACTCCTTACTTTACCACCCTAATTATTTTTCGACTGCCTGGCGTCTTTTGATCTGCTGGTTCCACATACTGGGTGCCCAATTTAACACTTGACTAACAAGTAAGATCAAATAACAAGATTAAGTGGATAATTTTGGTAAACCTGCACTTGTATTTAGTTTCCCATTACTCATAAGTGGACAGCATTACTAATCACCGTAAGCTGCGTTCAGAGCACATATTTGTATAATTTTTTTTCAAATACCCTAGTCATAGTGCTGCGATACAGAATTCTCTATTCGCTGTGCTGTCACAGCAGAGTCACACTCCCCACACCTGCCTTCAATCAACATAGTTTGATTAAGCTGTGTTAATACCCAGATGGGCCTGTATATTGAGAAAGCAAACTTCATAAACTAGGGTTATTTTTGTTGGATTTCAGGAAATTGAGGGGCGATTTGATTGAGGTATCTCAAATAATACCTCAATCATCATTTGATTGATACCTCTTTCGCCCACAAAACACACAATCCTCCTGGCGTGAAATGTGCTGCATTATTGTATAATGTAAAATTATATTAAAATTAATTGTAAAATTAAATGTAAGGATTATTATTATTAGTGAAGAATATTAGCAAAGTAAACAGTGATGACTTTTCACTCCAGTTAGAGAATTCAGGACAAGAGGATGTAACTTTCAAATTAGTGAATTTGGAATCCAGGGAAAAAAACCTCTACATGAAGGCCGCTGAGAATATGGAAGAGCGTCTCAGAAAGTTACAGATACCGATTGGTATCTGTTCAATAGAGAGATGGCTAGGTATGAGGTGAATGGGGATATTCAGCAATATGAAGTAAAGGGGTTAAGGACCTGCTTCAACCAAGAATCACAAACAGAAAGGGAATTGCTTTTTTTATCCTTGCATTTGGTATAGCGCTTTTCACGTTGCGAGGACGTCCCAAAGCGCTTCACAGAACACACTGTAAAGTGAAGTGACTGTATATTTGTGGGTGAACGCTGCAGCCAATTGCGCACAGCAATGTCCCACAAACAGTCGTAGATTGAAAATGACCAATTCATTTTTGGTTTTGGAGGGATTATTATTAGGTGTGTGGAGTAAGGAAACTTGCCCAAGGTTTCGCCCTGTCTGGAATTGAACTCAGGTCTCTCGCTTGCAAAGCGAGTGCTCTAACCACTGAGCTACAGGACTCCACACAAGGTTCTGCCAAGCCCTTACTCTTACAACAACAACAACAACTTGGATTTATATAGCGCCCTTCACGACGGACAGTGTCTTAGAGCGCTTTACAGTAACAGATCCCGGGACCGAGCCAGGGGGAGGGGGAGGAAGGTGACCAAAGACGCGGTCGAAAAGAAAGGTCTTCAATGACAGATCATCCACTGACTCAACCAGTCTCCTTAAATCACTTAATCGATTGCTATAAGTGCCTTTGCCACAAAACGAAGAGTTATCTGCCTTCCTTCAAGGAGTGCTCAGCAATAGGAAGCTAGATAGTCATCTCGTAAAGTTTTACAGTTTTGGTATGTACTACACAGTGGTAATCATTTTAGATCTACCATCTACATAGAGCCAGCTCTGACATTAAGACATATTTTACTGTCTTTCCCTCCTCTCAGCTGGTTCTAGGTAGCCCTATGTCATGGTTGCTCAGGTAAAACCTGGCATGCGAATATATTGCTCATATTCAGATGCACACACACAGTCTGTATAGCTAGAAACGCACAGGCTGTACAGCCACACACACAGTCTGTACAGTCACACACGCAGTCTGCAGAGCTACACACACAGTGTGTGCAGCTACAGACACACAGAATGTACAGCTACATACATTGTGTAGAGCTACACACACAGTCTGTACAGCTACACACACACAGTCTGTACAACTACACACGCACAGTTTGTACAGCTACACATGCATAATCTGTACAGCTACACACAGTTTGTATAGCTACACACACAGTCTATGCAGATACACACACACACATCAGTACTGCCACACACACAGTCTATACAGCTACACATACAGTTTGCACAAGTAGACACACACAATTTGTACACGGGCGAAACCTTGGGCAAGTTTCCTTACTCCACACATGTATTAATAATAATCCCTCCAAAACAAAACAGTAATAAATTGGTCATTTTCAATCTACGACTGTTTGTGGGACACTACTGTGCGCAATTGGCTGCCGCGTTTCGCCCAAAATATACAGTCAATTCACTTTACAGCATATTCTGTGAAGCGCTTTGAGACGTCTAGAAGACGTGAACAGCACCATATCAAATGCAAGGCTGATTATTATTATTATATATAAATTATATTTTTGTAGTTACCTGTGATTTTGATACTGACTTCCTCAAAAACCTCATCTCTGTGATTGCTCCAAGACGTTATCCTAAGTGCAAATTGTTGTTGTTATTAATATTTAATGGTTTCTGTGGGGGTTTTAGATGTTGTCTAGATATTATCTCATTGCATTTTTCCAAAATAAGATTATTCATTTTTTATTGTTTCACATGATGGGGCTTTATAAGATTTAGATAAGACCCTGGAATGTGACTGGGATCAACTCTCCCATTTCAAAACATAGGGATCCTGGCCATATTAAAATTGATTCAGTCTGATGTGATCCTGCTGTACGAGGGTGTACTAATCTAATAAGAGCAGTGATTTCTGGTTACAGGCACTTATTGGTTAAACTGGTGTTTAACTTTGCAATGTTGGGTAACATTCCCACTTTAGGGGATGGGAGCCAAAATATAATGCCTGATGATGTTTGCGATGGATTAGGTTATGATTTAGGAAAATGTGCAAAACAAAATCGCTGGAAGAGAACTCAATTCTGTTCATCGGTTTGGTGGAAAAGGTGGAGCTGGTGGGTGTGTTGGGCTTACACTATCCAAATGATTATTATTACCAGTTGTTCTTTTCAAATGTTCTGGGTTTTTACTTGATGGATAACCGCTGGGCATTTCTGAAATTATTCAGGTTGAGAGAGGCTCAACTCTCTGTAAAGAAGATAACATCAGAGAAGAAGGTTGAAACCAAGAAAACAAATCCTAATAGTCTGGTAAGATATCTATATTTGCTAGTATTTGTCTCTGAAAGTCAGTCATGGTGAAGAAAATATACCAAATGCAAAACCAACCCTGAATTTGACAGCTTGTCATAAATTGGTATTGAAAAACAAATAAAAAAAACAGTATTATTGAACTCCCAGAGAGGAATTTTTGGCATACCAAGAAAATATTAAGGCAATAGACATGTCCAATTGCCAAATATTTTTTATTTGGACCACTGTCGTTACAAATAATGTGATCATCTGAGGCGGTTGAAAAATATCAAGACAGGAAAGAAAAGCAATAGAGCTTTAGATATCTAAAAAAAAGGCGCAATTTTCAGGGTGAGGGGCGAAGACAGGTAAATGAATGGATAGTGCTTTTAAAGAGCCAGCCACAATGGGCCAAATAGCCTTCGTCTGTGCTGTAAATTTCTATGGTCCTATTGTCAATGACACTGAGCTTGTTTTCTCACAAAACAGAAAGAAAGAATGCGCCAGAGGGCGGCCAACACGACCACCAGCTGAACACTACAAGAAACAAACTAGATGACTTAACTCTTTGGGTGCTGCCAATGCTTGAAGAGCTGGCGTTGAAAAGCTTGCGTATCTTTGCATTCTTCGTTTGCAAAAAAAAACAACTCCCTGAGGAGATTTTCGTTACCATGATGACATAATCTTTCTTCCATTCCAAACCTTCTTGTTTCCAGTTGGCAGAGAAAGTATTTGTTATTCCTTCACACAGCATTGGCTATAGACGTGAGTCCAATTACTCTATGCTGTGTGGAATTGCTACTACAACATGAATATATTATCTCTTGGAGCTTACAGCCGCTGGCAATATTTGGCGCTAGAGGTCAAATATTACGATTAGACACAAGAGCTAAAACATTCCTTATTTTGCTAAGTGAAATGACCCAGTGTTCAGTCTCTATCAGCACACATCTCTGTACTGAGCCACATGAGGGATCTTTTGTCAAAAAAATTCTGCAAAAAAGCAAAAGCTAAAATGCTATGGGAATCATGTTCCAGCTCTCACCATTGCTGTCCATTTGGCTGGTCCTATTTCTAAAATTATTCTCTCTACCTATCACACTTTCTATTCTCCACCATCACCACCATATCTTACGTGAATTCCCTCTTCACACTGTCGATGTTATCTACCTCCGCTGCCTCAATGGGAACATTATTTCGCATATTTATCACCTGCTGTGTAAACGAGTTATGTCTTAACTGCAGTCTAGCTATGGATTTCTTGAGTCTATCGAACATGTCAATAGAGTCCAGCCTCTTTATGCACTTTAGAATTAGAACATTTTAGTAAGACAATCGAATAATATTTTCCAATGTAAACATGACTAATTTTCTCAGTCTCTTTTCCTACCTCAGGTGCCTAGTTCTCTTTTTCAATTGAGTCGCCCATCATTGTGTCCTCTCCAATGCCCAGTATAGACAACAGGATATTGCACCTTGGTCCAGACAAATGCTTTTCTCTGTTCCTCTGCTTATAGAGCCTAAAGACACTCACACATTTCCATTATGTAAACGACATAGTGTTATCTTTAGCAGTTTATGCCTTATTCTCCTTTCAACTGCAATCACTGTGAAATATACAGAGATGGGTCATTTCACTTCCCAAATCACAAATTTTTAATGCACCTGATAAAAATACCTAAAGCTGTTAAAATCCTCAACTTTTTAAAATTTTACTCATGACTTCCTATTTATGTTCTCAGAGGAATTAAAGTTGCATGCTGCCAGGTTTTCCTAAAATCAGTATTAAAGTTGAATTAAAATTGATGCCATTTGGTTCAAATATGAATACAAAATATGCTCTGCTTGAAAATATTGCACAATATAATTTTGAATGAGTTAGGTTGAGAGGTTCCTCATGTCACTGAGTGGAGTGAAATTCATGTTTTGATTAAAAGGAATGGAATGTCCCTGGCAATATTTTACAACTAGCAACCTGAGAAATACACTATCACTACCCACTCTCCTTATGCCTTATCTCTTCAATTGGGCTTTTGGTCAGTTTCCACAACACCCCCGACCACCACCCACTCTTCCCTCAGCAAACCCCCACCCCCCCCCCCCCCCAGCTCTCTTCCCCCCAACCCCAGCTTGGGGTGTCAGTCATCAGCGTGAAGCACTTTGAGATATCCTCACAACATGAAAGGCACTATATAATGTAAATTGTTATTGTTTTGGTAAATAAATGTTATTCACCAAAGCACAGTGTGGCTGCATCAAAACTAGAAAGAATAAGAACAAGAAAGTAATTACATATCAGCCAATTCAATATGTTTTGCCTTTACCTAAGCACAATTATTTGTGCTTATTTTGAGAAACACCTCTTCAGAATCATTAAGAAGGAAAACAGCTTTAATCTTTTGAAAAAAAAGTTCCTACCTTTAGCAAACTATTATAAAAGCTGATGAATGCAACACCTTTAAAACCGCCTATAGAAATACATGTTCATTACACTTTACAGTAAATCCTGTGAAACAGTTTGCAACATCCTCTCAACACGAAAGGCGCTTTCCTAATACTAAAGAAGGATTATTTATAAATCGGTATCTTTATCTCCAAAATTATAGTCAAATGCACAAAATGTTGGTATCTAAATTATAGAGTTGACATGCTATGAAAATGTGGTTGAAATGTAGATTGCAGTACCAGGATATGAAGAGAACAATGTGTTTCTTAACACAATTGAAAAAATATGCAAATGCTTGTACATAAAATGTGATTGTTTTACTCAACAAAAACTACTATATGACTATATATATACTATATCTACAAAAACTACATATATGACTATTGTATTTTTGTATAGAATGTGTATTATGCAAATTTATGATAGCTTTATTCATTTAAAAGCAAAAAAAGTGATGCATATCTTTTATTGTACCCTTAAAGTTAACACTAGATTTTATAGAACATCACCAAATATTTTTATCCTAGCTATTCAAAAATGCAAATTAAATATTTTAATTTAACAGCATAAAACGTGTAGAGTTAAAGGTATGGAAATCCCATTTACTATATTGCCTTTGCTAGTCAAGCCTAAAAGTCCTTCAATTATTTATGTATTGAGATTTGAGTCAAGTGACCAATTTCCCTTTATTCTGTTTTGATTTTTTTTGAAATTTGTTAAATGAAGCGTGTGTTTTGTGAATAAGAAGGATTTTTTTGTTTACTTTTTTTTCTGTACCACTTAAATTCAAAATATGTAAATTGTAGTAAGAATATCTAAGTTGCAGTAAGAACAAAGAAGTCTTCATAGCTTCTTTCTTCTTCATTATTAAAATGGTAACAAGTATTCAAGTGCTTGCTGTTTCACGTAATTTTACAGAAAAGGCGTGTCTATTATTTCTACTATACCTGTCACTACTGCAAACTATACAACAGCATTGATATCATTACTGCGAAAAGTAGAATAAAATTCTGCTCATCATTACATTAGTTCCATACTTCCGTGAGCCTTTTTTCACTCAGATTTGGAGAAATAATATTGATTTGCCAAGCATAGATGATCTTAGTGCAGTGTCAATGAAGTTATTTTACTTCATTCATGGGCAAACATGCTTGGTTAAATATTGCTGCTGTTACTCTTGTTTTGGGCTGAGTTTAAACCCCTATTTGTTTTGTTCAAGAAGTCTGGCATTATATTACTGGAACTGCCCTGAGAGTGTTCAATTGGAAATACTTCTGAATTCAGCAAACTTGAATGATGATTCGTATTTGTTTCTTGCATTTGTTGTATAACATTTAAGAAAAGGAATGGTCTCAGTCAACCTCATTTCTTTTAGATCAAGAGTAAATGTTTGATTTGTTCATGATGTAGGAACACCCTGACATTTGCCAACTAGATTTTTTTTATATTGAAAGGATTTAGCAAATGTCTGCAGGTGTCTTATCAGACTTCAAAAAGACATGTTACTATTACCAATGCAAACTCAATGTCTATAATGGGCCATTGAACCTGCAAATGACCTGTAAGTTTACTGTGTTGGACAGGAATTTAAGTTTTCAATTTAGGGCTGAGCGTATTGCTTAAAATGAATTAGTTGCCTTGGCTAGAATGGCTTTAAGCTTAACATTAAGCAACAAAGGTTCAGAGAATATCATGAGCCTAGACAATGTCTCGCCCAGATGTTCAGTAACCAATGGACCAAGTTATACAATCTTTCCCATAACAAAGCTCCAGCAAAATGCCCCAAAGTTGGCATGCAAATCTACATCTGGCCTTACGTTAAGATTTTCAAAATTGATGTCAAGCACTGTGTCTTATAGTGAAAATGATACCTTGCTAAACCACAATAAAGTAGGAAGTTTAGAGCAGCAAATTGTCAATTGGCCCTTCAAATCCTCTTCTTCAAAAAACCATGATACCCTACTACAATACTTTACTCCACCCATTCTTTCTCCTAGGTAAAAATTTTGCATAACTATTCCCTGACCCCTCCCCCCCACCATCCATCCAAATGATCAATTGATCAAACAAACAAAAAACCTTCTAAATCTTAAACTAGGTTGATTTAGCATTTTAGGTCAATATGAAATTGCTGTATGCAAAGCTAATCAAATAGTAATAATAATAATAATCCTTGCATTTGATATAGCGCTTTTCACGTCAGGAGGACGTCCCAAAGCGCTTCACAGAATACACTGTAAAGTGAATTGACTATATATTTGTGGGCGAACGAGGCAGCCAATTGCGCACAGCAATATCCCACAAACAGTCGTAGATTGAAAATGACCAATTTATTACTGTTTTGTTTTTGGAGGGATTATTATTAGGGTGTGGAGTGAGGAAACTTGCCCAAGGTTTCGCCCTGCCTGGAAGTTGAATCTTAAGGGTATTTGACTATAACTCGATTAAATTTTTTCCAACTTTGTCTAAAACTCTAGTAAGGACACATTTGGAATTATTGCATGCCATTTTGAGCAGAGGACTTTGAGGCATTAGTGGGAGTTCACAATTAAATCTATATTGCTATCTAAACACTATTTTTCTGTATCCTATATTATTTTGCATCCTAGAGATGTATCTGATTTCCCCTAAATCTAATGTGCAGAACTTGTCAGTTATGATGAATATACTTGATACAGTCTTGCACTTTCTGAAAAATGTGTCTGACTTATATAGTGATGACTTTATTGGCATCTCAAATTTCTAGGAAATCTAGTAAAATCTGTGAGCTAGGTAGTAACTACTGTAATGATGTGATTAGTCTTTGTGGGTCTTTCAACATAACCTTTTATGAAAGAGACAACTTCAACAATAGTGGAATGCTTCTGAGATGGGCCTTGAAAAGTCTGTACAATGTTATATGCATTTACATTTCTGTTAAAATTCCCTTACTGTTTGGGTCAACTTTTCAATCTTATTTGAGTTGTGTTTATTTAGTGTAAAACGTTTAGTAGTTTTGAATATTGAACAGTATGTTCTTAGTCTGACCTTAGTGCTTTGCATTGCTATGAAATATTTGGAGTTGAACATGTACAAAATCTATCGTTTAATTACTAGAAAATACAGGTAACAGGCCTTCTTGATTCAAGCACAGTTATACGATGTGTTTTGAAGTACTCACAGTGAATGATGGGTCTGAGCCCCTAAGTCATAAATTAAGTAAATTTTATGATGGAAAGAAACCACAGGAGCAAGCAATGTATTAAAATCACAGCAAGGAGCAAATTCCTAGTGAGAATAAAAAGAAGCACAGCACTTAGAAAGGTAGTTTTTATTTGTGTATTAAGAGTTAACATGGCGTATAAAACGCTTGGAATGAAATCTGATTCCGTTCAGTTACAAAATCTTTATGACTTCTTGGTTCTGCTTGCCATAACTGAATGAGGTTGTGAAGTTAAACATAAGTCTGCAGATCATGCTATAGTAAAATGTAGTACAGTAATTACAATGCACAAGTGAGCATAAATATGTACAGTGGTCATTATTTAATGTTATTAAACCAACTAATTAAATTTTATTAATAATTACAGACTGTTCAATCTGCATTCCGGTTTATATTGTGTAGAGTGGTGTGATCAGTCTGTGGTCATTATTGGTTTCCCATTCAGTATATGATTCTATTCTGGAGTTTTTAAGACTTACAGAGCAATACAATCAGATAATAAAGCAGTGGCATTACACACTGACCCTAATATTCTATTCTTTCCCGGTGAATTGAAAAGAAATGAGTTGGCTGACTACTGTTTTCTTTCAATAAAAAAACTAAAAATTTACAATGCAAAATTAGACATGTTGTCAACCATGTCGAACCCAGACTCATTTTTGTTTAATGCCAATTGAACCATCAATATGAATCTATGCTGCACCTTGGAACACAGAGATCGCAGGCTGGAAGCTTGTTTGGCATAAACAAATTTAATCTGAATTATGTTTTATTTTTCTCTCTCTTTCTCCGGTAAGAATAGCTTCTATTTTACAACAACTGTTCTGGTCTGAACAAATTCTACTCTAGAATGAGATCCACTCTGCTATTGTCAAAAAAAATCCCAGTTGTACTTTATCAGACTTTTTTTTTGTGAGACCAGCTATGTCTCCTTTTTCTTTTCATTCCCCTTTCCCTTAATTTGTCCAGGTCATGAAACGACTGCAGTCAATAGGGCGAATGAGTGGCTTAATCCCAGGCCTCAACAAAGTGTTGTGACTCACTGGGAGGTCAGTGAGAACAGCCTAGAGAAGGTTGGCTCTCATTCTCTTTCTGGGGAAGCTCCAGGCATTTGCTTGCCAGCGCCTTAGCATTTGCTTGCCAGCGCGTTGTGAAAGACGATCTATAAATGTGATTTTTTTGTTGTTGTTATTGTTGTTGCCGCTTCGCCTCTACATTAAGGAGTATCACAGGTGAGAGACCCCACATTCCAGCACATTGTGATGTCTTTCGCTGTGTCCCCTGTTCATCCCACAATTCTATTACAGCAGTAAGTAAAAAAAGATGCAATTTAAATCTTTACAGCAGAAAACAATAAGTATTATACTCCTACAAGCTGCATTAAATTAAAAGCCAAAAAAAAACATTAACTTTTTTTCTTTTACAATTATAGTCTTAGCTACTGTTTATTATTGGTTCTCATTGGCTCCGATGTAGGCCGACACATTTCAAGCATCTAACAAAATATCCTGTAATAAAAACATGCCAAGAGAATACAGGAATCTAATAATAACTGATTATTGAAAGAAATGAAACTGTGGTTCTGAAACCAGACCACATTTTGTCTGCCTTACTAAACCTACATGTTGATTAATAATGTTTGTGTTTTACATTCTGTTATAGGTAAATGATTTGTGAATAATTATGCTTTGTTTTTAACCTTTGAGTCGAGGGATATTTTGTGCATTTGGCAATTATAAAGACGGCTTTACACTAATGCTGCCATCTCCGGGTAAAAACAGTGGGAACCCAAGTGTGTCATCCCGCTAAGGAATAGGTGTTCATTCCTGCCCTCTCAAATTCCCATTGCAAATTAATGGGAGCACACACAAAGATGTGCTGGAAAAGTTATTACATAAATAGCACTGATCTTTCAACAGTTCAAATATCTTCCACACACAAGCTGGTGCAGGTACATTTTTCTGGGTGACTTGAATTAACCTTCTGTAAACTTTTATCTGTGCCAGAAATAACGTCCCTTTCGGTCAACCTTATGCAACATTATGGGCATAATTATGCTGAATACAATCTCTCTCAATAAAACAGAAATAACATTATTAAATACCCATAACATTCTGAACAAAAAGCTTTGAAATAATTATTTAAATATTCATATCCTTCTTTCTTGACTATTCACATTCCACACGGTGGAAATTATCTACTTGGGGGTTCCGATTTTGATCCAAGTCCTTGAAAAATACAGGTGATTGAGGATCCAACCACGTGTAACTGTGCGTGTCCCTGTCATTTTGCTTGTGGTATAGTAATGATGAATTGCTGAGTTACGTTAGTGGTACAGTGTGGTCGTAGCTCTAGTTGAGGTCTATGGAAATGCAACGACACTGTTTAACTCTCTGGATTCTTTTCTTTTTAGTCGGTGGCTGCAAGTCAGGACAGCTGAGAGTGACTGTCATGGTGGTGAATCTCTTAGGCTTACAGAAGGAGCAGGACTGGAAGGAACCCTCCTCCTTACGAACATGCCTCGGGATGTAGAAAGAGTTGCACTGGCCGTAGCAAAACCTGTTGATGATCGTGCGGCTGCTGCAGCCCTCTTCGTGGATTGTTTGCTTGAGGGGCTGAGTTTTGCACCAGTCACGTTTCAGGTACTTCCTCTCGGTAACGTGCAGTGCCTCGTGGCTTGACTCCAAGACCTCATCCACGTTACTCCGGTTGCCAGCCTGCTCCGAGGTGTTGGGCTGACCCTTGTCTGGAGAGGGGATTGCTCCTTGGGAGCCACGGTTATTCTTTCTCTTCCCAGCTCTCTCAGTTGCATCAATTAGGAATCCCCACAGGAACAAGAAGACACACAACATACACAGAGTTCGAGTCATCCTGAGGAAAGAGAGCAAAGCTTATTTAATGGTGAGTCAACTACGGATATTAATCATATTAAATGTAACTAATATTTGTGGGGCGGGGGGTCTTGCGTTGTTCCAGACAAGTAGTCTGATGATGAAGCAGATGATGATTATCCACCAAAGCTACTGGATGAGCCTCCACCAGTGGTTTTTGATCTTTTAGAACAGTGCCTTAGAGTCTTGCAAACCCTCCTGGCTCAGAACTGGAATACCAAGGCAGGATTTCAACTCGATTCTGACATTCCAGTGCCAAGTATGTTATGTTGAAGTCTAAGCAACCCCAAGGAGACTCTGCTTACCTCCTACCCTTCCCCCGAGAAGGATAGTCCACCAGCACAGATGCAATGGGCTGATTGGCTTCTTTCTCCTATAATCATTGTATAACAGCCATGGTCCACCCTCCTCCTCCAAGGAAGCTCATCAATAAATAATAATAATAATAATCCTTGCATTTGATATAGCGCTTTTCATGTCGGGAGGACGTCCCAAAGCGCTTCACAGAACACACTGTAAAGTGAATTGACTGTATATTTGTGGGTGAACGCGGCAGCCAATTGCGCACAGCAATGTCCCACAAACAGTCGTAGATTGAAAATGACCAATTTATTATTGTTTTTGGTTTTGGAGGGATTATTATTAGGCATGTGGAGTGAGGAAACTTGCCCAAGGTTTTGCCCTGCCTGGAACTGAACTCAGGTCTCTCACTTGCAAAGCGAGTGCTCCAAATGACTAAATGGCAATACGGTATAGTGGCTTTGAAAGCACAGAATATTTAAACCTGATTTCCTCGTGAACACTGGCCATTACAGAGCTAGTTCTCCGCTGGTCAGTAAATTTACGAACCTCGACTGTGTGCGTATATAATGGGAAGTCCCATTACTCCTATATGGCAGTTCAGTGACTTATGGTGAAAACGAAGTTGACTTGGATCACAGATCCCACACAGTTCTGCTGTAGATCATGTGGATTGCTACTATTTTTATATAACTGGATTGAACTGGTTTGACACTGCTTCCCATTTTTAAAGCTCAAGCAAAACAGAGCTTGTGCAAAGAAAAAAGAATTTTCACATTTAGATCTTAACTGTAAGACTGCAGTGAATCTAATAATCAAACAAAAACTCTCGAACAGTCAGTGAAGTACAAATGTCTACATCAAAATAGGGAGGAGGTATCTCACAACTAATTCTCCTCCATTGAGGTTTTTTCTAAAATTGATCCAAACTCCCACCCAATGGAATAATGTCACACACCCTTTTCCCATCACATTAGATGCATTTAATGACAAAGTTTCCCAAGAACAGGTTTGTGCTAAAGTAAAGTTTCCTCTCAAAGGACTAGTTGTGCACTGATTGTATCAGATGAGCCACCAGTAGATTTTGTGCATAACAAGATCTCCCGATAGTAAGTTTATTTAATCATGGATGAGTTAGGTCAAGGGTTGGTTAGGGATGCAAGTATTAAAACAGTCTTTAATTTAGCACAACCTTACTTTCCTCTAACTATTCTTAATTGTAAATCTTATTTCTTTGTTGGTTCGGTTCAGGTGATCAAAACAAGTTATTTCAGTACTCACTAGAAGGTGTGAAGAATTCTTTTCAAAAGGGCTTTTCATTGCTCAGTCATCAATCTCATTTTCATTATTTCTTTCACCATTATAAATGAGTCAATCGTACACAAATTTTGCATTTAGAAGATGTGGAGGTCTGTGAACGTGCAATCATGTCCACGGCACCCTCAGGGTTAATGGCACGTGTAGCGCTCTACTTTGGAACATTCTATCGCCAGTCAAGTTTCCCCTTTTTTGATCCCTTTTCCTGTCTCCTGAATTATATAAATCTAAACGATGACTATTTTGAAAAAAATTCAGCTACTTTTAGAATTTGCTTACTTTCTTTCATGAATTAAACCACCTACTATATCGTTTATTGTTTTTATCAAATATTCTCACTACGATGTAAGAAATATACAGAAACATCTCTGCTCCAGTCACCATTGCAAAACTATTTTCTTGTTGATAATTTACTAGCTTTGGTGGCACACTTTGCTTGTTGATGTATTTACAAACTATTACTGCAACCATTTATAAAGGGATTTTATTTGCAGAACACAAAGTAAAGTTACCAACAAGCAGATAATAACTTTCTCTATGACTTAGCAAAGGTGCTTTGTAAGAAAATTGTTCCCATTGGAAATAATGGGAAAGACTACGTGTGCAAAGCATGTATGGCCTGGGGCAATGCATGGATTTATTGCCCCCTTGTGCTTCCAATGATTTCTATGGGAGACATATTCCAGATGTGTTACGAGGAAATTTATTACTGTATCCTCTTGCATTCCTTATTGCTTTCAATCATACATCATTTCAACTGAGTCTCTACAATGGATCTGAACGATACCAAAAGGCTATATAACACCTTCACGCACCTTCTTCACTTCAATTCCCTCATGATGTACCACAAAATCTTTTTTGATTGATTATGTTAAGTTTTAAATCCTCAACATCTTTAGGACCATTTCTGAGTCTTTGCTTTGTTTCGAAAGTTGAAAATTACATTTCACAGCAAAGATCACTATTGTAGCCACGGGCCGAATATTTCTTGGTTTGTATAAAATAATATTTGTTTTTCTCTCTCAGACTGATGCTATGTATTCAGTAAAATCAAAAGCTGCTTTATTTGAAACTAGTTGCTTGAATAAAATGTTGGCTTATGCCTATGCAGTATTCATTTTTTTAAAATGTTTATGAGTAGTGACTGCAATATTTTATCACCCAATTTAATGGCTGAATGATTTATTCAGCATCATTTTGATATGGTTACATGGTGACGAAAATTTAAAAAAGGCCCTTTCTAATTTCAACTGCGCCATGTTAAGAAAAGACTAATTGATAGTGACAATCGTAAAAGCTTTTGCTGGTACAGAATAGTTACAATTATTGGGATGCACTTATTAGCTGAGCTTGCAATGGGAACATATTACCCTATGGATAGGGTAATATGCTTAACTACAATTTTAGGATAGCTCAAATGAGCATGGAAATTTGTTAAACATTGCGAAATTAGGAGAGCGAGAATATTGTGTTTTTTTCATTCCACACCATTCTATGTTGCATTTATTTTCTTTGATACTTAGGAGCTCCTTACAGCATGCACCACTGCCAACAGAAGGACACTGTGTTTCTAGCTATCTGACAACAGCCTCTGAAATCTAGCATCTTCTTGGTTTCCTTTCTAATAAAACTAAGATTGGAAAACTGCTTCACCTGGAAACTGGTGTAAACATAATTTATACTACTCCTTTCACAGTCCATTGATTCCTCACTGTGCTGCTAAGGAATTATCTTCTTGAACAAGTAACCACTTGCTGCCAATGGACAAGTACTTTAAGATGCTTGATTAGGATCATTTGTGAATACATGTTGCTCAAAATAGGCATCACAGTACAAGTAGTTCAAAGTATCTGTTAGAGTTGTTAATTTACAGGCAGTCTAGTTAGACATTTTAATGTTAAAATATGTGACTCCCATTAAGGACAGTCATATACTATACTTGACCAACATAGACCTGAGCAGATATGGTTTTATTTAATTTTATTTGCTTCACTTTGATTTATTCTCTTCATTTCAGTCATCTTATTTAGTTGTGTTTCTCTCGATCTCTTGAAGTATCTTTTTCCTCCTCTATTTCTTTGTTACTGTTTCTATCCCATTGCTGTTTGTCACTTTTAATGTTTACTGCTTTCTCTCACTTGCTCTGCACCTTCAAAACCTGCCTGCATATGCCAAGCGAGTATTAGCTGCTGAGATCCTCTGATTTTTTGGGGGTTTGGGGGAAGAGTTTTATTTCAAAGGTATGCAGCAAACAAATGTATAAAAACTGGTTTTGTGATATCTCTGTGCATATATGATGACAATGTAGGGCACCAGGAGATACATTCATATCTGTAATCCTCAACAAGGTGACTTTCAAATATTAACCATATAAGAGCAGTAGTGAGTGGAGATCAGTTTTTTCCTCAGGGAGAGAAAAAGTGAAATGAATCTTGCACATCTCCTAGTGGCCATTTGAAGAGCAGTGTTAGGTAGAGACCTGGGAGCAGATTCTCTGCTTACCCTGTTAGCCAGCACGTGATTGAAATACTGTAAATGTGATTGATTAGCACGCATAAAAATAAATGAGGCAAAAAAACGCACAAAATAGAAAGGCCAAAATATTTTAACGTAGGAAGCAGAACCATTCTTCTTTCATTGTCCTCACAGTCCAATGGTGTAGTTGAATCAGTTAATTGAGTGTCTTGGAAGAGCAATACTATCTGCTAACATGATTTATATTTCAAAACAGGATCTACAGATATAATGAAAAAATTCTGGCTGCTCACTTGGTTGAACATCAGACTTGGGAGCAGAGAATTAGATCCACTGAATCTGTCACTCTTTCAAGGTGGATAAATGAATACCATGCCTAAAAATATTATCTTGGAGAAAGAAGAAAGCAGGAACTTTCTGTGTTGAAATAGCAGAGCTAGTCAGGTCTACAGTCATCAAAGGATAATTGATAGTTTGCCAACCTGACTCATGAATGAGATTTGGAAGTATAGACATATCCTTTCATGCGAGCCAAAGCCCCTTTATGGTTAGGCAGTCCTTGCTGGACAACAAATGTGAAATTTACAAGTGCTTTATTTGTAATACTGCTGTGGTAATTGGTAATGTGTTGTTTATATAAATACAACCGAAAATGTTTTATATTAATCAAACAAATTCATCGTGCATTTTTAAATTAGAATTCCAATAGGGATTACTTTAAATATTGTCACGTGGCGTCAAAATCAAATGGTTTTCACTTCTACCTGCTGAGACTCAGGGAAGTTGTGGTAGAACAGTGAAATGTTGTTCTCTGAGCAGGAACACATTATAATTTCAGCAATTGGCTGATAATATTCTGGCTGCTCACTTGGTTGAACAATAATGAGA